CCCAATATAAACTGGATAAGGAAGTAGTAGGTGTGTAGAAATTTTATTTATTTTTTTAGTAAAATTAATATATTTAATATTAACTTATTAACATTATTTTATATATATTTAATTTTTTTAGATAATATATTGAAACATTATAAACTTTATGTAAACATCACACAAGATACTTCAGAGCAAATAGGAATAGTAGAAGATAATATGCAAGAATTGTTTGACAAAGCACTAGAGAATAACAAAAGGACAGATCTTTTAAAGGAAAAATAATATATAACATGTATATAGAAAAATAATTTATTAAAGATTATTTCTATGTTTTTCTTGTTAATTGTAATTATACCTATATTGACATTTGGAAATGATGTATATTTTATAGTAAAAAAAGTTATGCGACGTATTTTATAAGATATTCGAGTAACGCAATCGACATGCTTCCCCAGTTCAGTTCATTCTCGTAAAATCTGAAATAAAAACTACATCATTCCAGTATCAATGAACAAATATAAGTACAGATCTTTCGATATATCGCTTACTTGCTATGACATGATAAACTGCGACGATCACAACTAAGACGTGGAATTGCCTGATAGCAGATGGTGTTGAGTGAGAATAATAAGGAAAAAAGTCCTTGCTACCTGAATTTGTCTCTGGAATGCTCGCAGTTTTCAGCATCATCCAGTAAAATGCTTTCATTTTTAATCTCTTTTTCAATTCTGTGCCGACTTCTTTCCGTATACGTTTGTTGTAATTATTTAACCAACGTCGCTGCGTAACAGACATGTTGATATAAATTATTATAATAATGTCAAGTTCAGTAATTCTAGAATAACGAACATACGACTTACGTGTAACGGAGTCAGCATATCGATATCAATAAGTTTCGGTTCGTAAGGAACTAAAGTGACGTCCCTGAATTTGAGAAACTTCCGTGCATTACGAATCTAAAACAATTAACATTTAACAATTAGTAATTAAAAAATTACAAATATATTTATACAATTTATACAAATAAATATATATATATATATATACGATTGATATAAGAATATATACAGAAACATACTGATTTGTCAGCTGGAATTACTTCAAGTATGTTTTCCAAACGAACTCCAAAATCACCTTCTTTGTAGTATCCCGGTTCGTTCGATAGGAAGAATCCTGGCTTCAACTTGATAGACCGTCCTGCCGAATTTCTGCCGTCATATGCTATGTGGATAGGCGCTGCAACGCGTATTGTTCCACTAGAATGACTTTCATCACATGTATTCCATATTTTCATAAAACAACTATTTTACGGGAGAAACAGTTGATTACGAACATTCGTGAACTGAAGAGAAGTGACCGATTCCATGACTAGTCCCGTGCATGTAATCGTAATTGATGCTCCACAACGGTCTCCGTGCAACGGCATCCAATTGATCTGTCATTACATCACTGGGGAAGATCAAAGATGATAGTTCGATCGAACCGATCAGCACTCTTGTGTAGGCATTTTTCTGTTCATCGGTCGGCACTCCGAAATGAAGCGTTCTGGTCACGTCGGTGGTACCATCTGTCAAATAATATTTTTTGTCTTGATTACTTGATCAGCAAAGAATTGAAAGTAACGAGAAATTTAAATCTTTTTAAAACAAGCCTCAAATCAAAATTTTATTCTTGTTTCATTTAATTTGCTTCGCTATTCATCGGGAAGACGGAATAAAAGGACTTTTGTACCCAAGTATTGTCCTCCGGAATCCACTACTAGCGTGGATGTGGTCCCGATTTTAACATTGGTCAAATTCATTGGCTCGTAATGCGGTATAGCTCCATGCGGCCCATATCCGGCGATCGTTGGAAAGGCGATGCCTCTATTGCCGTTTTGCTCGTAACGGAATTCATTCGCTAGCCTCGCCACTTGCATCTCGTCCCACCCTTCAGAGTCCAATTCGTACTGCTCTTCCATATAAGCCAGGAAATCGCACATAGCCACTGCGTCTCTTAGATGAGATTTTCTCATACCCGCCACCTCAACTTTGTTTTTTTCTGCTCGTAGATCGATTACAGGCGAAGGCTTAGGTAATCTTTTCTCTAGCGGAATCTGTGAGAAAAATTTTTGCATTTATATGTTTAAATATATTCATTTACATATTTGTTTTCAACGTTTATTTAATTCAATTTATTTCTTATTGTGTATAATCTTTGCAGTTACTTACGGAATTGTATATTTCTTTGGATGCACCGAATGTATAACTGTAAAACGACGGAAGCCACACTCTGTTCCAGGCTTGTGACATTGTCTTCAAATCATACCAAATGGCCGTGTAATTATGCAGTCTACAACAATAATAATCAATCATTATACAAACTTGGAATGATCATCGGTCATTACAAATTTCTATTTGCTCTTATTACAAATTATTATGGCATCATCAATTTCTAAAATTTAGAATTCTTTAAATTTAGAGATTTATAACTGAGAAATTCCGATTTCGTAACATTATTTTAAAATAAAAACAAAAGCTTTTTTATTTAAAAAAATTTAAAATAAAATAAGTTGTAGAAGTTAAAAATCTGTCGAATATTTATTTAATCCTTATCTCGTTCGTCAAGAGTTTTATATTAAATAAAAATATAATATTTTTGAAATTTATTTATCACTCACTTGACGCAGTTCGCGTGAAAACAAGAATCGGTTTTTAAGTGTATGTCAACAGATCGCAAGATCTTGTGTCGCGGCGCGTAGAGATGCAGAGATCCTTGAGTGACTATCGCGTAGGCTCTTAAAACAGGTGTGTGCGGTAGATCGTAGCCGCGGATGTTGAAGAGCCATGCTATCTCGTCCAGAGCGGTGATGACGAGCGCGTCAGCCGACGAGAATTCCATTTCCACCCGGATACTTTGAACTTTTTCCTGCCACGGTTTGCCGGAATATTCATCTGTCAGCGGATACGCCGCGTGCGAATTGTATTCAGGCCGGTCCACCTGCCAGATCAAGTCCACTAGGTCGTTATGGACTGCGACCAATCTTACGAATGTATTTGCTGAACATAAATAAAATCGTTAGTCGCGAAAGAAGGGCAATTTAGCCTCATTACATGATCATTATTGATGGAATTTATTTCGGAAGTCGAAAAGAAGGAAACAAAAATATTTATAATTAATTAACGCATAATAATAAATGTATTATAAATTTTTAACAATATAAACTATATTTTTTAAATAATAAAGAAAAGAGTAAATGCACACACACATATTTTTTATACATTCTGTGCCACGTGAATTATTGATAAGCCTATGCTGAAATCGTTCAAAATAAAATATAATATTTCGTATTTTTTATTCATTATACTTTTTATTATATAACGCATTTCATGTGTTATACCTCTTCCTTAATTATTTTTATAATTATATCTTACGTGACATACTTGAAAAATATATATAATATAAATATATATAATAAATTTAAATAATATGATTGGAAGAGAATCATATAAAATCAGCGTGGCACAAATGCATGTTAACTGAATAAAATGTACCAAAAAAATATTCGATGTTTCATTAGAGAATTGTTTAATTACCCAATTCATCCTCCCATGTCTGCCACGTATCTGCAGATATTAATTTCGGATTACCACCAATACGTACTTCTGTCCGGTTTTGGAATTCGTGTATTAACCATTCTGTTATCGATGGTACCTAAAATTAATGGAAATATTAATGTTAAAGATTTTCTAACACTAAATATTCACAAATTTGTCATGAAAAGCTTACATATTTTTATTTGACTTATTGTTAACGATGTGTGTGTGAGCTACGAATTTTTGTTTAAGTAATTACACACAGATAAGTCAAGAAGTTTTTCAATATCCGTGTATAATGTTAGAGACTTATAAAAATATTTCTCCAATATTAAATATTTCCTAAGAAACTTTTTTTTTTATTAAATTTATAAAAAGTAACCGCTCAGAAAGCCCTACTTCCCATCCCCTTCGTACTTCGTACGAAGGAAGTACGATCATCGATGACAGAGTTCTCGAAACAAGTCAAGAACTCGTGTCGTTCTCACGCTCAGAGAAGAGGGCTATAGCTCCTCATCGAGGTTACATCAACTCCCATGTTAGGGAGGGAGAATGAGATCGACTCCTACAGAACTGATCCTGTGAAGTATGATCTTAATTTTCCTACTCCAACAGACCCTATATATAGCAGAGTGGTGAAATTTTAACTACGAGAAAACTTTTTCGTTCGTAGCCATCTAGCGGCATCCACGGTAGTTAAATGTCAGAGAATGCATATAGTATTTAGCCTGCGTTCGCTTTGGACGCTCACACGCTGAAAGTATCAGTCTATCTTTCTTGCTCATTATACGTCGAAGAAAGATAGAATAACGCTTTTAGCGCGTAAGCGTCCAAAGCAAGCGCAGCCTTAGTATCGCGATCGATGACGTGTTATTTCTCACAATCAGAATAAAAGTTAAGAGATTGCAACAGATTTTCGATGTCGAAGCAAGTTGATTTATTAAATAAAAAATTACAATTCAATAATTTTACATAATCAAATTTTTTTTATATGGTTTTATTAAATAGTTTTAACTAGATTCTAAAAAATAAAATTACTTATTATTGTTCTGAATTATTATTATCTTTGGGATCTTGATAAAAGTATATAAAGCATTATTAAGAATAATCTGATGAGAACATTGGAAATAAGTTTATGGTAAATTCCGAAAAAATTTAATAATTATTAAGGCAAACAAAGACAGACAATTTGGTTGATTAACGAATAGAAAGGGAAAATTTAACATACGCGTACACAATGATAAGCCGATATTAATATTAATACAAAAAGTAGAAATAAAATAGAAAATTTATTAAAACTTATTAAAAATAAAAAATCCTTACTAAATTCTTTTTTCAAATTTTGTCTGCACATTATATTACGAGTGCAATGATGAAAATATTTGAATTATTTTACTCACATCATCTTCACCATATTTCATTAAAATCCAATTGCAGTCCAGCTGATAATCTGCTTCAATATGATATCGACCATCAGTCCAAAGTACTGCTTTGTCTATTGTGACAACAGTTTCTCCGGAACTTCCATAGAATCCAGTAACAAATTCTCTCCTCATATCATGTGGATCCACAGCCTCACTCTAGACAAAAATAATTTTTATTATTTACTTTATTTTCTATTTCATAGAATTGATTATATTGACTTTTGAGAGGCTCATATATTAATGTTTCAACATAAATCCATATTTCCCAATCGTTTAGTGCTGTGAGTAAAAACGAAAGTCTTTAAGTACGCGAGTGTATTTTTAAACTTCTAATTCTATTATTTGATATTTGGAAAAATATATTTTCATTTTGTTGAATTTTAAAATTATATGGATTTAAAAGAGATTAGACACTGCACCCAAAATTACGAATAAAATTTTTCAGCAAATATTACAAAGATGATTGCTCACAAGCGTAGCTGTCAGTTAAAGCTATCTATAATTACGCAAAGTTATGTAGTGTTATTTTCAATGCTAAAAGAAGCCTTAAAATATTTCAAATACACCACACGAGTATACCTCTAAAGGGCCATCACGGCCGTGAGAAACAAAGCTCACTGTCTGAAAATTTAAGCACAATGAGATAAAGACATTTAACACATAGATTGATCATGGATTAATGCAGGTATATCAATATCACTACCAATGAGTTAGTTCGATCTGTTAAAATAATATTACATCAACAGCTTACAATGCAAACAGTATTTTATAATAAAATAACAACGTAGTCGATATTTAATCAATTGTTTTCTAATAAATCAATTTTGTAGTTATTAAAATAAATTTTTTAATCTCTAAAATAAATAAAGAAATTTTAATTATGATATCCCTCCTATCTCTCCTTCTTATCTTTAACACTTATCTACAATTAGTTAAATTAATTTACTAATACGAATAATTCGTCAATTATTAAGATTGTATATTAATAGACCGATAATTCATATTCATTAACATCGAGTCAAGTTAATCATATCAATGACATAAAACTCACTTGATGCTCATCATCCGATGTAATGATGTAACCGTCAAGGGCTGGCCCTTGAACTGCCGCCACACGGACCATCTCGGATCTGAGTTGTTTCAATCGTAGAGAACTGTCGTGTCGATTGACTGGTTGATTTCCGACGTAAGCATTTGCGGGACAGTACGATCTTGTGGCACCATTATAATTCCTCTGGGGCTCCGATAATTTATTGGCATCAGCTCTTGCTAATTCTGTATCAGAACAAAGTTTTTATTCTTTTGGCAAATATGACATGAAGTGCAACGGTAGTATGTAAGAAAATAAATTTTGAAATTGATTTTATCTACTTAATATTAATTGATAAATAAAATTTCGAGTAACTTTGATCAAAAAAGTTTACTTTGATTTTATTTGATGACAAGATCATTTTAGACAACAAAAAGCAAAATGTATATAAAATAATACTTAGGGGATAAGAAAAAAATGTATAAATTTAAATGCAACAAATTAATAAACATAAAAAATAATTGGAGGCGCCGGGTATCGATCCCGGTACCTCTCGCATGCTAAGCGAGCGCTCTACCATCTGAGCTACGCCCCCTTCTTACAAAAGCTGTTGTAATGAATGCAGATCAACTGTTCTGTGTTTGTAAACATATAAACTTATATATTTGTACTACACACACACATACATACATATATATATATATATATATATATATATATATATATATATATATATATATATAATATATATGTAAAAAATATATATTGTTCAAAAATTATTTGCGATCAATTATTATTATGACAAATTTTATCCAAAATATGAATGCAAGTCTTGTGTATAAAACAGAGAGAGAAAGAGTTAAAATAAATAATTTATAAAGATAGAATGTAATCATGAATTTTATGCCGTTATTAAATAAATTAAAAGATTATAAAAAAATTCTTATCTATCCAAACATTCAAATTACGCAGAAAGATGGCACAACAATGATTCTTGCATATAATAATAATTTTAATATAATAATTTGTTAGAACAATTCAGTATATATGTGAGGATCACATAAATTTGAATTCAATATAAACAAATAATCCCTTTACAGAAATGCATAATTAAAACTTTGCAAGAGCATAGATAAAAGAAAAAGAAAACAGGACACACTTATTTGTCTTCAATTATCAGAAATATATAATAGAAATTTCAAAAAATATTGAAATTCGTTGAGAAAGTTAAATCAATAATCTGTGAAAGACAAAAGTAATCATTATCAACGCTGTCTATTATATTTAAAAAATTTCATATAAATTCTACAATGATTTCATGCGCTATGCAAGCGTTTAGAGCTTCTATAGAGCGCATCTAGAGTCCTATATCTTTGTGCAATAAACAATGTGTTGCTCTCGAGTTTAATTTATATATATATATATATATATATATATATATACACACC